GGTATCATTTTAGATTATTACTTGAGCTCTTATATATGTTAAAATTAGCCCTTAAAACATTTTTTTTTCTTTATTTTAGATGAAAATATACTTAAAAATTGCTTATCTTCTAAAATAATTTTCGGAAGCGCTCTTCCAAATTATCCAAAGTTTAATTGATAAAATCCATCAATAAAGTTTAAAATTATAAAAAGAAACACAATAAGACTATTACAGTAAGAAGTAACAAAATTTAAAATGAAACGAGTGTGTAATCTCGAAGCACAGAGAAGTATCACTTTAACTCTTAGAAAGTATCACTTTTTAACTCTTTAGAAAAAATGAATCGGTTTAGTTTTTGCGTTCGTAAATGGTTCACTAACCATACGACGATATTCTTCCTCTGATAAATAGCACCTTCCGCATAATAGACTGGAGGTGAGCTTTTCTAAATAAAAAAGAAGGAACAGAATATATTTGAAGGCAATGCAAAACGTAAAAAAAACTCCGCACAGTAACCCTAAAGACTGTATATAGTAGAGGAAAAATAGATAAAAAGGAATTGGATATAAATTCGATACGAGAATGTTTTCATAAGCACGCAGCGATTTAAAGAGCCCACCTCTGTTATGCTTTCCTTCCACCCCCCCCTCGAACAGCTGATGAGTAAAATACCCAAGCAAGCGAATAATCACTCAGGTCAGAAACCTAAAACTGTGTTCATTTCAAAGTATGGACACAGGATGCCATCTAGTGGCTTCGAAAACGTTCCACCTTAAAATGGTATACGCTCACCTGTCCTCAATCAATCTTTACTGATGCGTGGATGGGATGCCCGGCTGTAAGAGACGTTCTTAGGGAATGCATGTATGGGACGCCCGTCCTGAAAGGGTTAAGAGTCCTTAAAAGTACTTAAGTTTTTTGGAATCGATTTTTTGGTCCTTAAAAGTCCTTAATTTTGGCCGAAATTGGCAGAAGGTCCTTAATTTTAATTATCTGAAATTTCTATCTGTTTTTACGACTGCTATTTTGAGTGTGAATTAGCATTTTGCAGAAATATTTTTGGCGATTCACTGACAAATATGGTTATTTTTTGAATGGCTTAATGGGTTCATGGGATATAATTTGTTCCTATTTATAATATAAATGGTGGGATATTCGAGTCTCTGAGCAAGGAGTGAAAAATAAGCATTTCAAATTTATTTCATTTTTTGTAATGAAGAGCTCTCAAACAACTTTCCGCTTTTGGGGATGTAAATTCTTTTATTAAATGGTTCTAATTTTGGTGACTTATCAACATATTGGCAATTTTAAGATCGGTTCTATATGGAAAAATTTTTAATTCCGAAGATTCTGGGAAATTTTTGGACGACTTTTTTAGAGCATTCTAACATTTTTAAATTTCATTCAAACAATGGTAATGTATTAAAATTATATTTAAGAAATAACGTTAAAATAAAGCATTTTTATTTTTCATTGTCATATTATAAAGTTCCATTTTGGCCACATATACAATGTTTTGAATGTGAAAAATAAGCAAGATATGATGCTATAAAGCACAATTTACGAAACAGTTTTTAGCAAAAGCAAAATAGCTATGTAATTAATGAAAAATGTCTTTTTAATTTTTTCATCGTAAGTGTTTTCCCCATTACTCAGAATGTTCAGAAGTCTCAGAATATGCATCGGTTTTCTCTATAAAATTAATTTCACACTTTTCCCCTCCGATTTTTTCTTTTTTTTTTTTCAAAACATTTCTTGCTTTTTGCTGTTATAGAATTGGTAGGGGTAATTTTTCATTAGGATTTTAGACTTTGCAGCTTGGAAAGTTTAGAAAGATTTGAAGTCAAATTTATAAACCCACGATTCTAAAAGATCCCAGAAAAATGTGACAAAATAAAAAATGTCTCCATGGTAGTAGCACACAATTTCTTACTTTCTGAAAAACACCTGAAAGAACATAGAAAATCATAGGTCCTTAATTTTTTTCATTAATGGTTTCTTAAAAGTATTTAATTTTCATGTGCAGAAATGTATATGAACCCTGTTTGGGAAATACTGGTCTAAATGATGTAATTCAAGTTACAAAATTACTTTCCTTTAATTTGTCTTTTTAAAGGACAAGTAACTTTTCAGAGAATTTAAAACAGCTGGCTACTTTTGCCAATGCTTTCATAAATTGTTTCCTAAAATTAGTTTTTATGTGTAACCGTAGTAAAAGAATTTTTGGTACATGTCTTCTGTAACAGCCATGGCAAATGAAAATGGTGTTGGTGCAATTCGGGACTTAAGAAAGTGTGTTTTGTTGCGAAATGTTATAAACACCCATGAAAACAAAACTGACTATGATAATTGATAAATCAGCAATGCATTCAATATCTATGCAACCTAAGTTATTTAATACAGTCAAAAGTCTTTAATCCGGACTCGCCGGGACTTCAGTGATTCCGGATTATCGATTTTTCCGGATTATAGGTCATCAGTTTAAATCTGGTAAGATGGCATGCAGAAATTATAAAATTAAAAATATGAAACCGTAATTTATAAAATAATGAGCAATTATGATCTAAAGGGTATCAAAATTTACAAAAAAAAAAAAAAAAAAAAAAAAAGCTTAATATTTATTTGTTTACTTTATTAAACATTTCTTTCAACACACGCATGCGTAAAGCATACATTATGCATAGCCGAAATTAGAAAATTGCAACCAGAAAACTATTTGATTTGTATTCGTGATATTTATAATGATGAGGAATTTGATTTAAATTATATCAAAGACGGAGTACATCGAGATGAAATACTACATTTAATAAGAAATTATAAGCCAAATAAAATAAAAACATCTGCCCTGAAGATAACGATGGTGCTGACAGATTAACTTCCAGGTCATTGCGCGCCGCGACGTCCACCCCCTCCCCACAGAGCAGCGTGAAATTGATAAACAGATTTCGGAAAGGTTAGAGAAATAAAAGATGTGCCTTTATCCATTTTTTGCAGCAATTCCACTTTTTGTTTGATGGACATCGAAACATGCTTTCGCTTTGTAGATCCTTTTGCAGCTCCAGAATCGGAAACTCTTTTTGACATAATCGAAAGTTCAAGCTTACTTTTTATAAAATTGCTCTAACAGTCTGCAAAAATTAATAAGCAGGATCCAATTAGAAGATTAAAAACAACGCAATCTGAAACATTAACTGAAATAGATAATTAGATAATGTTAACTTATACCGTCCGTTATACATCAAAAGCGCACGCGAAAACGTATTCTGCGCTTGTGCACACGCATATGCGCAGTCGTAAAGGTCTTATGCGCACGCGTAAACGCCTATGCGCATGCGTCAACGCGGCGCATGCGCAGAAAGTTTTTAGGTTTGAGGTCCGGATTATGGGTGTCCGAATTAATGACTTTTGACTGTATATGCATACAGAAATAATCTAATATAAATTTGTATTTATTATAGCATTCACTGCCCACAATTTATGTAAAAAAATAACAATACAGTTCAGCCGAAGTTATTTAATATATACATTAATTATCATATTAAGTGCAAATATATAAGACATAACAACCAACTGATAAGCCAAACTATTATGACTGGTTTAAATGTACTCATTTAGATGACTTGGAGGGCACGTGATTGCATGGGAATGGTATTTAACTGCTGCTTAGAGAAGATAAGGAATCATTCTTGTACTTTTGAAAGTAATGGAAAAGGCTGCTGATCTAAGTGAATTTGATAGAGGGCAACATGGGGTGTTGTCTGCTTCCAGCAACGCAATACCCCATGTCACAAGGCTCAAATTGTATTGGAGTGGTTTGAGCAACTTGAGGATTAATTCTAATTAATGTGCTTGCCACCTAACTCACCGTATCTTAACCTGGAAAGAGCACATTTGGCATGTCATTGAGTGACAGCTTAGAGCTCAAACGCCACCATATCAGAATATCTCAATTTTGCATGAATGCTGCTTAGACATTTGGTACAACTTGTCTCCAGTTATCTACCAAGAACTTGTGGAATCCATGCCAAGGCGAGTTGCAGTTGTTTTGGACGCCAAAGGTCGTGCAGTGCATTAATGACTAGGGCATGATAATGTTTGGGCTTTTCAGTTTATTACAAACATGCCATAAAATTCTTTTTATTATATTATTTAATACAATTGGGTTAGCAATTCATTAAAAAAATATGTGAACAAACATATCAGAAAATTAATTTTTTACAGACTATTTCTGATAGCCACACTTCAGCTATTGCTGCTAATAATATCTGAAGCATCAATTATAGCTTCTTTTTCCTTTGATGAAAGATTGAAAATAGTAAGCACGATAGAGTTTTGCAGTGAGAAACCTCTATATTTATACAATGCAATTATGAAAAACCATTTCGATTGTTAATGATCTTGCACATATGCAGATTGCCAACTCTTTGTTTTTTAGCAATGCAAGAACATGCCAAATAATTTTTCTCACCCATGCTACTACAAAAGACATGCACCGAATTTTTTGTTTACTAACATAATATTGATGTAAAAAGTTTTTGCACTCACATAAAGCATAATGACTTCATATAATCATTTTGGTTACCAACAATCATGGACAATATTTTAATCTCAATAAATTATCTGATTATGATTACTAATTTCAAATTTTTATAATTTTTTTCGTGCTACATAGAATAGTCAACTAGTACAATAACATATTTTTCTGCTTATGCAAAAGACTCACTTTCATGTCACTTCTGAAAGGCAGTATTTTAGAAAATTAAAATATTATTTAAAAATGTTATAGTTTATGGTAAAATTAGTTACAAATTCTTATAATTAAATACAAATTCTTTAAATTGTAAGTTGCAGTTGCTATGAAAAAAAGGAACACTTAACTCGGTCATGATTGCAATCTTCTTTACATACCTGCATGGCATTACCATTTTCCAATAATTATTTCAGTGAGCCTTTTATTGAGTAACAATGTTGTACTATCATTTAAATGCTTCTGACTTGAATTGTTATTTTTGTATCAGGGCGAAATTGAGGCGATTTCATTAATGCTGCCCAAAGGTCCAAATGATAATGAAACAGGTATGCTGGAATATGTTGAAGATATTATTGGTTCCAGTCGCTTCATTGGACCCATTAAAACCATTGAAGGAAAACTTAAAACACTTGGAGAGGAAAAAGAAGTAAAGGTAAGGATTAAAAAAATATTTTATTTTCTGATAATGTAATATTGGATTGTGAGGACACTACTTATGACCCTTTCAGCAAGAAAGGAAGTGAAGAAAAGAACAATTTTTATAAACTGAAATAATTTTGATCAGTAAAGTATTAATCATTTTGTTCAATAGCTATTTGTATGCAAATTAATGATTCCACATTCAAAGAACTTGCTTTCTGTGCAAAAAATTTTTTTCATATGAGATTTGACTGTTATCTGAATGAAGGTTTTATCTGACAAAAGGTAGTCAGGGCTATAATCTGATGGTGCAATGTCAAGACTGTAGGATGGTAATGTGATCTGCCATTGTCATGATGGAATATTTTACCTTGAGATATATCAATTGTTAACCTGTTGCAAAACATATTTCAGTTTTGTTAGTTATTAATGGCAAAAACCAGAATTAATTGTTTCATTCCGTAGTAAAAGCTCAATATAGACAATTATCTTTTCATTGCAAAATTTAATAGCATAACTTTCTTTTAACAAGTATCAGCTTTTGATGTTTGAGTTTGCTGTCCAACTTTGGATTGTGAATCTTTTAAGTTCAGTATTATTATAACAATCGGTATTTATATATTTTTCTTTTGATCATTAAAGTGCATGAAGATCCCACCAAAGGTGTTTCAATCATTCAGGTGAAATTCTGAAGGAATATGTAACTCTTTATTTTGTTAGATAATCACAGATCACTCTAGTTGCATACAGTTATATCCAAATTTATCTCTCTGTACACAAAAATAATAATAAAATTCATGAAATATTCAATTTCCATTTTTGCGAGAGATGTGTGAAAGATAAGCCTAGCATTATTCAATCAAAGCAATCAAACAGTTTCTGATATCAGATCATTGTGTCATCTAACATTGAATCAAGCACTTTGTGCAAAGTGATTATCTGAGTTTTCTGCAATACGGAGTTTCATTTCAATGTTAAAGGACTGAAAATGGTTTGTTATGGCTCTTATGTATTATTTGGAGGATTCTGTGAAGCGGTGAATCATTGACCATTTCTAGGTAGTAGGCCAGACAATCATGGAAGCAGGCCCAGGTAGAAGTAGGTGGAACACTGGAATTTCACCATTGGTTGTACAAGTATGGTACTGCTGCACTAAGTATCTAGTTCTTCCGTAATTTTAGGGAAGAACACCCAGGGAGTTGGTCCAATAGGTTTTCCACCCCTTTCTCTCCTACCACCAACCTCTTGAGATTGTTTTCAACTCACCATATATTTTGAGTGTCTCCTTGCCATACAGACACTTAATGTTTATGTACATATCTGCCTTCTTTGGGATTCGAACCCGGGCCAATCAGTATGGTAGTCACAAGCCACTATACTGTGTGGGTGGCCAGTCACGGAAGCAGTGAGATACATGAATATTTCAAGACAGTCTCTGTGCTGAATGGAAACAATTTCAGAATCTGCCATACCAGTGGGTGTTCTAAAAGAAAACAATTTCAGAACTCTGTACCTGTTGTAAGGAGGCCTGGACAAAATTGTAAATGAATAAAAACTGCTTCTCAAGATCGACATCTGGCAATAATTGGCCATCATAATAATAAGTCTGTTGCTTGATGGTTAAGTTCAGAGCTTTCAGATGACGCTGGAACTGTTGTATCATGGCAGAATGCATACAGAAGGCTTAATGAAAAGGTGTTTATGCTAGAAAGCCAAGGGTATGTGTTTCACTGTCTTCACACAAGAGATCTATTAATTGGGACATGTTCTCTTTACTGATGAGTTGAGGTTTAGTTTAACATCTGATTCTAAATATGTTTATATCTGGAAGAATGAATGCAAAAATTTCCTTTGAACATTATGGAATGTGACCATTTCAGTAATGCAGGTTCTTTGGCATGAGAAGGAATAATGTTTGATGGACATAGGGCCCTACACATTTTCAGGAGCAGATTTCTGACGAGCTACAGATATTGACATGAGATCTTCAAAATGTTTAATGTAAGACTTTGAGAAGCATATGGATCTATCTTTTTATTTGTGGTTATTCATATCAAGCAAACCTCATTGACGAATTCTTTGAAATTGAAGATGTTTGGCCAGCAAAATCGCTTAATTTTTACTCGAGGTAACTTACAATCCTGAAAAAGCAGTTGCCTAGAGGCATCCTTTCTCCTGGTGATGTAAATGCCCTAAGACCCCATTGCTGGAGGAATGGAATTCCAAAACTATGGTTAACATGTTGTGTACAAGTCAAGGAAGATCAAATTCTATATTAAATTTATAAGCCTTAATTTTTTTCTGTGTTATTCTTTCTTATTTTTTAATCTGAACTCTTTTTGTGCCATATTGTTACAAAATGCCCAGCTGCGCTAAAATAGCTGCCCTGCAAAGTGGGTTTAGGGCTGGCAGAAAAAGGAAGGAAGGCACGGTTGCCAGATTTGGCGGGAAGTCGCCCATTTTGTGACGAAATCGGCGATATGCCATGTACAGAGCAAGAACATTCTGGAATGAATTCTTGCCAGTTTGCCTCAGAATGTTCTCAAAGGCAGGCGAAAAGCTATGAAAACCCTGCCTGTTGTGGAGTAGCAGAGTATCATCGAGTGCATCATGAGTATCGTGAGAGATCGTGAGTACTTGAGCTTTGAGAATGATCGACCGAGTCGGGAACTTAGTATTTTAGGGCTTTACCGTGAAGCTGTCTTCACCTTTATAGCCTGATAGCCTGAAGGCTGTGTTGCTGATTGTTTCAGCGTGTTTATTGTAGTTTTTCGACAACTGTAAACATATCTCTGGAACTCTCCTGTGGAATACTGGCGAATAAATTGTGTTTTAAATAAAGGACTTTTTCCCTTAAAATTATACAACTGATTTAAAATGAATTCTGAAGAGATTTTTTCCATGGTGTTGATACATACGAACGTATCTCGCATAACTCAAAAACAAGTAGCCTCAGTACATTGAAATTTTGTACATAGGACTGCTATAGCATTTAGTTGTGCACCTCCCATTTTGGTTGCAATCGGCTGCACCAAAAGTATATATATATATATGTAAGGAAAAAATATGTACATCAAAATTATAATTTAAAGTAACGGGTAAAACTTTTAATTGTCCCTCTCTATTCTAAAATTTGTAATAACTTCTCTTGATTGCGTCATTTCTACACCTTTCCTTTTCGCATGGCCTGCGCAGCGCTGATGATGTGAACTGAAACTCTGATGATGTGAACTGATTGTGAACTGAAACTTTTAACTCAAACCGAAACCTTTTTCTTCGTGTGCTTCCATCTTGCACAACTGCACACTTCGACTTCGCTCTCTACCCTGTTAGGATGTAATTTCGCTATGCTGCTTCCTATTGCTATAATATTAAAAATTTAAATGTTCTTAGATAGGCACAACTAAGTGCCAAGTGAATTGTGGTCACAAGCGTCAACAGGAAAATAAAAATGGAATTAAAACCACCTTGACTGCCAAGTTCTTTAGACATTACAAAGTCAACATATTACTATACTACGCAATCAGAAGTCTTCCTCTTCAATATGGATCTATGTACGAGTATTCCAGCTTTTCCTTTGCTTTTATTATTTCATATATATATCTACTCTGTTACTCGGCTCGGTGAGCTCAGTTTCTTTATAATTTGTAAATTGTGCATATTTTGCTTTAAAAATGATTGAATTATGCTGTTCTGGTTAAGATTTTTATGTCTTTAGTTAACCTTGTAAGGATCTTAAGTTTTACTAACGTTTATTTTATTTTAAATCTTTACTATCACTTCTTATTTTCTACTTCCGGCCAGAATTATAAGCGTGAAGGTTTTTATGCAAAGTTTGTCTGGCGAACGCCAAGTATTTAAGTGTGGCCTTTTTGCCAAGCGAAAGAGAGGAAGCAGTGAGTCAACGCAGGTCGCTTACCTTAGAAGTTACGCAGTTGCTGTTTGCCTTCCAGGCCAGAGGTTTTAATCCTCTTGATAAATTAAAGCGTATTGTAGTGTTCACAGTCTCTGTGCTACATACGCTTCCTGTTATTATAAGGCCAATCTTCCACGTGTATTATTCTAAAGTTAAATTATAGTTTTATTTTTATACTTTTACGTTAGACCCCGAGTGGCGGGTCATTGTATTCCGAAGCACGGAAGTTATTGTATATAGAGAAAAATAAAGGGTTTTGTATACCCTTCGTCTGTATCCTGTCTACTTACCACAATTAGTGAACATAGCTTTAGTAAGCTCTCTGTTCCGAGTCAGGTCCTTGTATGTTCCCGAAGAAGGTTAGAAGGAACATTGAACCTGATAGTAGCGCCCAACGAAGAAGAATAACCATGGCCGAGTTTCAAGAAGAACCTGTGCTGCCTGCAGCAGAAACGGCTCAGAATCCAGAAATGCCAGCTGCCGCCCTGGAAGGATTCGGTTACATCGTCCAGACCATGCGCGCTTCGATGATGAAACCAGAAGCAACGTTTTAATGGAAACTCACCGGTAACCAGTTTTTTGGAAAAATTGGATGACCACTTCATGCTCTACCCCGAGCACGAGTTTCAAAAAGTTACCTTAGCTACCAGCGCTTTGAGGGGCCAAGCGCTTAACTGGTTCAAATGTATCGGCAGAAGTCTCTTGGGTCAAGCAGGAAGTCCCACCTATACTTACGAAAATTTCAAGACTGCCCTACTAAAAGCCTTCCCTGTTGTAAGGGATCGTGCGAAATTAGAAACGGAACTTTTTAGTATATATCAACAAAGAATCGAAAACCTCTCAAGCTTTATTTTAAGAAAAATTCACGTTTTCAAGCTCTTGTATGGAAACCGTCCGGATCCTGAAATAATTCAAGTGATTTTGCCGAGGTTACTCCCCCAAGTGCAAGACTTTATTGAATTAAGAAATCCGACTACACTGGAAAAGTTATTTGAGCTAGCAATCCAGTTTGAAAGTAGAAGAACGGCGGACGTCGAAAGAAGACGTCAATATCAACAGCGAAACCAATTTGGTACGCCAAGACTACAACAAAACTC